ATGAGGGAGAAAGCGAGGAACGGACTGGGAAGGACAGCAACGAGAGCGTGTACGGACGGAGCAGGTCGAGTGGCGTTTTGCTCGGGCTGACTACAGCGGCGCCGGATGGAGCAGCGGCACCGGAGCATGCGGGCGACATCGACCCGTGGCGCACGGACAAACATTTCTATCTGTGTTGTTATTTTTTTTCGTTTTTTTTCTGACTTTCCGTGTTGGTGTTGTGTGATGACGNTAGTCGAACGGTGGGACGGACGTGCAGTTCAGTTTTTGGGCACGCATACGGTGCTGCAGGGATTTTTAGGTGTACCTCTTAGGGCTCTTGGATACCTTTTTCTCGTTATATGTGTGCGTGTTCTTTAGATCCTCAGATGGTTCTAGCACTTTCGTGACCACGGGCTGAGAGTCTTTGCTAGATTTTGGCATTTAGCAACTGACATACGGTTTAATGTGAAGACAACAACAACAACACTCTCGGCTCGTAGCCACCCGACTGGTCACTGGGAACTTAGAAGTAGAGATCTCCGGGGACGGACACCTCGCTAGGCGCTGCAGGAAAAGAACTAGTCTAAGGGTGCTTGTCAAAGGTGATCATCTGGGGTTCGCACCCGTGCGTGTATCACTTGTTAGCACAGGCTTGCCCCATTCAACTAAATACTGAGTCAGCGCTTTGACAACCACCCTTACTTAGTTCTTTTCCTGCAGCGCCTGGCGAGGGGTCCGTCCCCGGAGATCTCTACTTCTAAATTCCCAGTGACCAGCCGGGTGACTACGAGCCGAGAGTGTATATTTTCTTAGAAAGGCTTATACCCCCATCAGACTACTCAGTCAGCGGCTGACTGAGTAGTCTAATGGGGGTAAGCCTTTATAACACGAAATTCCAATCCGTTCAACGAATCAAAGGAAAGCGGACCTCGGATTGGAGGCGGCCCTGCAAGAGCAGGGCAGTTTATATATGGCTACTGCTGTAAATCCCCATGACGGTGCTCGACACTCCTGTACACAGCATGTCGTGCGCCATGCCTATCTTCCTGTGCGCGAGCTCACTTTGTCTGTACAGCCGTGCCTGCTCAGCAGTGCTGTTGTAAGCACCCTGTTGGCAGTATGGCGATAGCATTGTTGTGAGTATCTGGTACCTGTTTGTCGGCCGTACTCCGCGTACTTATCGGGACTTGTTTGTGTAGTGTATTAACTTCAGACGGTGAGACAACGCCCGTACCCAGGACGCTGTCGTGCTCGGAAAGCAGGAGGAGAAAGAGAGAGTGGCAGCGCGGCTGCTGCACTCAACAAAGGGGGTCCCGGTGCATCATCACCGTACCCCTACCTAAAAGGTTCTACACCATCTGCGTCACACTTGTACGTATGGCTAATGTATCCAAACCATGTCCGTAGACCCACGAACACCCTCCCTGGTTCTTCACGCAAGTGACTAACCATCAGTGGGGCAACAACACCCCGGATACATCAATAAAAAAACCATACGGTGGTGGAGGGGAAACCCGGCCCCCGGGCAAAACCCCTCCAAAGAAAACCCCATCCAACACAAAAACCATTGCTATCACGGCGGATGTACAACGGCCGCACTTATCAGAAAGACCAAGGCGAAGACAAGATCGCAAGGAACTACGTTCCCCCGGACGATGGCCTCCCAACGCCCCCTACTCCTGCCATGGGTACACAGACCGCGACAGTAATGCGACTTTCCCGCATGGTAAACATGGCCCTTCCCAAGTGCTAAAAACTGCTAGCTACTCCGGCAAATTCATCAACTTGCGCCGGTGGTACTGCAGACTGCTCTTGCTAAGAGCCTTGGTAAGCATGTCGGCATGCTGCTCCGACGTCGACACAAACTTGATCGAGATGTCCCCCGACCTGAACAATCCACGAATGAAGTGGTACCTCACGTCGATGTGCTTGCTACGCGCTGAGCTGAGGGGGTTCTGCACCAAAGCCATAGCCCCCTGATTGTCCTCAAGGACCTGAATGCTGCTGCCACTGGTCTCTGGGGCAATAAACGAAAGCACTGCACGCACAAACAAAGCTTCCTTCACACCCTCCCCGGCAGCAATGTACTCTGCCTCCGTAGACGACAAAGATACGATAGCTTGCGTCTTGCTACCGTGGCTGATGACGGTCCCTCCAACCGTTGTTGCCAGCCCTGACACCGAACGCCTATCCTCAGCGTCGGCGTAGCTAGCGTCCACGTACACCGCCAGCCCCAACCCCGATCCCCGTTCGTAGGTGATCCCGAGGTCCCTCGTCTCTTTGAGGTAGGCGAGGATCTTCACGATCGCCTTCCAGTGCCTCTCGGCAGGGGCATGGGCATGGCGCGCTACCGCACGCACGGCGAACGAGATGTCCGGGCGCGAGAACGTCGACACCCACATCATGCTGCCGATGGCCTCCCTCACCGGCCATTCCCCTCCACTCTCGTCATCCCGCTTCGGTCCTATATCGACACCAGGGGAAGCAGGGATGGAGGAGGTCGACTGCACATCAAAGCGATTCACGATGCTGTCAATGTACGCGGTTTGGGAGATTCTAAGGGTCCCAGCCTCTAGGTCTCTCTCGACGGCACACCCGTCGAACCACACGCACTCTCCAAGGTCTTTGGTGGGGAATGCCTTGTTGAGGGAAGCAAGCAACTCCTTGCAATCATCATCAGACCCGGCCACCAAAATGTCATCCACATAAATCACGATAATCATCACCACGACATCGTCTTTCATCTTGCGGAAGACGCACGGGTCAGCCTTGCACTGCTCGAACCCGTTTTCTACAAGAGTATCGGCAGCGTGGTACCCCCACTGCCTGCCGCTCTGCTTCAAGCCGTAAATAGCACGCTCAGCCTTCACAACTTTGTGGGATTTTTCCCCGCACCCCGCGGGGAGCCTCAGAAACACATCCTCGTCCAACTTAGCGTGTGTAAACGCCTGCTTGACATCCCAGTGGTTGAGTTTCAGCGATTTCTCGTTGGCTACCGCAAGCATCAGTTTAATGGATGCGGATGATGGGCAAGGGGAGGATGAGTGGAAGTAGTCCACGTTCGGGATTTGCGAAAACCCCCTAGCGACCAGACGCGCTTTGAACTTCTCAATTTTTCCGTCCTTGTTTGTCTTCCAAGTGAAGCGCCACTTCGAGCTCACAGGTCTACGCCCCTCTGGCGTACCGTCTACGAATGAAAACGTTCCCGTGCCCAAGTGCCCATCAAACTCTTCCCTCATGGCCTGTTCCCATCCCTCTCTGTACACAGACTTGTTAACGCCGGCTACGGTCATGGGGGGGGATTCGACGTCACTCGGACGCTTGCCTATGGGGGATTCTGTACTCAGCTCGGTCGACGCCAGGGCCCTCGCGAAGGCGTCTGGAGAGTTGAGCACGAGGTCCTCCGCTCCCAGCAGGAAGTCCTCTGCCTCTTGGCGCGCGATGTTGGCCTCCTCCGCGCGCTCGCACAGCAGCGCTTGCACCGCCCTCGCCTCTAGCTCTTCCACCACGTCGACCACACACGCGATCATCCAGTGGGTGTGCTCCGTCGTGCTGTTGATGGGCAGGATGGGCAGCCCCGCCTCCGACGCATGGCGGGCGAGCAGGCCTTCGGCACTCGTTGGCGACGGCGACGACTCGTACCTCATGTTCCGGCGAGGGTTCTCCCTGAGTCGGCGGCTGGTGAGCTCCGCCGGCTCGCCAAAGCGGGCGAGCTTCCGTCCCTCGGGCCCGCGGAGGGCCGGGATGTCCGTGTCGCTGCCGCTGTCACTGCCGCTACCGCTGCTGTTGCTGCTGCTGCTGCTGCTGCTGCTGCTGCTGCTGCTGCTGCCGCTACCGCGGCTGCTGCTGCTGCGACGGTCGTCCTCGCCGCCGCCCACATCGGCCATCCCGGTCGACGTGGTAGATGGGGCGACGCTCGCGCCCTCCCTGCTCGAGGGGGCGCCATCGCCAGCGTCGCCCGCGCCCGACTCCTGGGGCGCGGCCGGCGGCGCCGCCGGCGCATCACGCGCGGGCGGCTCCGCGGGCCCCGGGTTTGCCGTCGTGTCAAGGTGGAAACCTCCATCCTCAGGTTCTCCCTCCGCCCTCCCTCCACCGTGGCATGACGCACCCTCCCCGCCCTCGTGCTCCCCAGTCGTGAGCTCCTCGTCCTCCTCTGCAATGGGAGGCAGCGGCTGGGGGTGCGCGGTCGGGGCGGCGGGCACAGATTGCCAGGTGAAGTTGCGAGTTGTGATCGCTTGGCGTTTTTCGTTCAGGATGCGCACGCAATCACGGTTTGTGTTGATTCCAGGGCCGAGGTAAAAACACTTTTTTGCTTTCGGCTCTGACTTGTGCGTGCGCTTGACCTTGTATACGGCGGGTTTGAGGAACGGGTACGTCGCCTCTGGGGGAGGTGGGTGCCCGTGCCACATTTCGTACGGCGATTTCTTGTCCGGGTTGGATGTGGTGGAGGTGCAGTTAAGGGCGTTGCATGCCCAAGCTGTAGCTTCGGCCCAAAGGGAGGGGTAGCTCGGCGCTTCGGGGTAAAGAATCGGCGCTTGTATGCGCGCGGCTAGTGCTGCATCCTTGATCAGTCCCAGTGCTCTCTCAGCTACACCGTTGTATTCTGGGCTGTATGCGGGGGTGAACTCCTGCTTGATGCAGTACTTGCGGCACAGCTTTCCGAACTCTCCCTCGAAAAACTCTCCTCCGTTGTCAGACCGCACGACCATGACCTCGGATGGGGCTCCGTCTGCCCGGTTTTCCGCTAGGTATCTCTCGAATGCTTCTGCAGCGTCTGACTTGTTTTTCAAGAAGTAGACGCGGTTCCACCTCGTGCAGTCATCCCTTACAATGAGAGTGTACCACTTCCCCCCCAAGCTCTGCACCCTTGCCCTCCCACTCAAATCCACAAAAACTCTCTGCAGCTTCTTAACTGCACGGGTGGACGTCCTGTTGGGGATGGGCTTGGATAGCCCCTTTGCCGTCGAGCACCCCATGCACTCCCGGAGCTGGCCCACCAGCGTCACCCCTTGCTGCTTCGCCGTGTTCTTCAGCAGCACCTCGTGGGAGTGGCCGTGCGCGCAGTGGAAGTCGTTGATGTCAACGGGGGTGCGGTTCGCTTTCGCGTTACCAGGAGCAATTATGGCACAGGCTAGTTCCCTACCCGAGTCTATGCGGTGACCAGTCTGAACGAACAGGTCCCCCCATAGAGGGAAGTACACCGACTCCCCCCCACCAACGAACACCTCCAACTCACGCTCGTCTGCGGCTAAGCGGCCCTTGGTTTGCTTCAAAAGGGCTGTGAGGGACACGAGGTTGTAATTCAGCTCCGGCACATGAGCGACCCGTTTCAACAGCAGGTCTGTGGTCCCAACGCGAGAACCGATGGTCACCCTCACGTCGCCGTAGCCTACTATGGCGAAGGCTTGCTTCCCTGCGGCGACACTCAAACGTCGATCGCACTCATGGTAGTTTTCGAACGCGTTAGCGCTCGGGAACATGTGGTTGGTTGCGCCGGTATCGGCCACAAACCTTTCCTGCCTGGCCTGCTCTACACCCCCTCGATCAACGACTCTGTTCCACTCGCCTGTGAAGTCACGGACCACTAGCGCCTCCTCTGCCACGTCCAGTGCGGTGGCGTCCAAGACCGGCAGCTCCACCGCGAGCACCGCCTGCTCGGACGAGCACTTGCTCTTGTCGTGTCCGTAGCCCAGGCATTTCTCGCATCGCAGGGGCTCCGGCTTGGTACAGGCGGCCGCCTGGTGACCCTTCTCTCCGCACCGGAAGCAGCGGCCGTGCATGCTACCTGCACCGCCGCCGCCTCCGCCGCTGTTGCCACCACCACCGCCCTTGCGACCACCCCCTTTCCCCTTCTGGCTGCCACCGCCGCCGCCGCCCTTGCTGTGGCCGCCGCTGCTGCGGCCGGGCGCTCCGCCCCTGTTGCCACCGTCGCTCGCGAGGAAAGCATGCTCCGCCTTCCGCTGGCCCTTCGTGGCCCTCCTCCCCTCCGGGAGGCTCGCGTGCACGGTACTGACGACCCTGATTATCTCGCCCCGGTCCAGAGTTGTAGCCGTCTCCAACAAGAATTTGGCTTGTTGGTACTCGGGTGGAAGGGCATCGACAAAGTGTGCGAGAACAAAGGGTGTGTCAGCGTTGAGCCCTTTTTCCCGCAGTCGTGAGTACAGCAGCTCGAGCGTGTATAGATGCTCGACAGGGTTGCTGTTGCTGTGTGCGGGGATCGTGAATCGAAACATCTTCTTCATGAGGGCTTGTTTCGAGCCCTGCGACTCCGGGTTGTGTACTTTGTCGAGTTCCGCAAGAATTTCCTTTGCGGTCTCGCATTTGTTCACGATTGCCTTGTCGGCTTCTCGGACGATGGCTGTAGTCACAAAGTGGAACGCCTGGAGGCCCCTCTGAACCTCATCACTTGTGTAGCCCAAGCTATACAGCTCCGAGCTAGGCCTGTTTGGGTCACCGACGGGTGCGTGCTTCTCGGCGTTGCCGATAAGCTGCCCGTCCAAGCCTACGGTTTTCGCGGCTTGAATAAGGGCCTTTCTCCACGAGTCGTACCCGTGGCCGCGACTCTCCCCTTCGAGACGCGGTGCATTGACCGTAACACGTTTTTGGCTACTACTGCTGTACCCATCGAAAAATGCTCCGGCCCCTCGAATTGCGGTTTGCTCACCTTGGGGGCTTAACCCCCTCGCTTCCCCGCGGTCCGGTCCTACGCCCGGGCTCATTCCGGCTGGCCCCACAGGATTCGCTCCCGATCTACTTGCCCAGCCAGTCGTCACTCTCGCTGGAACCCCAGGACTCGCTCCCGGTATGTTGTCCCAGCTGCTTTCCCGCGGGTGATTTCGCCCATCACGGGCCGTTTCCCGGGAAAATGCCCCGCCGCCCCCAGGCGGCAGAGCCTCTCTCTGGCTTGGGACGGCAGCACCGCTGCCCCTACTGGCATCGCCCGCCACGGCGTCACCAGGCTCCTTCCTCTTCAACTCCATCACTACGCTCATCAGTTGCGATAACTGGCCCTCCAGCCTCGCAATCGCCGGATCCTCGGCGTGTTGCTGTTGCGTGGCTGAGGTCTCTTCCCCCAGCCCTGCGACGGAACCGCTGTCCGACGCAGACATGACCCGATGCGGCTATCCCTCGAGGGACAATCAACTCTAGAGTGTTTGTCGGCCGTACTCCGCGTACTTATCGGGACTTGTTTGTGTAGTGTATTAACTTCAGACGGTGAGACAACGCCCGTACCCAGGACGCTGTCGTGCTCGGAAAGCAGGAGGAGAAAGAGAGAGTGGCAGCGCGGCTGCTGCACTCAACAAAGGGGGTCCCGGTGCATCATCACCGTACCCCTACCTAAAAGGTTCTACACCATCTGCGTCACACTTGTACGTATGGCTAATGTATCCAAACCATGTCCGTAGACCCACGAACAGTACCTAGTACTCCAGACGATAAACTAGTGTGTTTCTAGAATAGACTACGGGACGTGTGAATGGACGTAAGCATGAGGTGCTGCATGTACAAGTACACTGTCCTATCCATGACACCATCCATGCTCCTCGCCCGTTCTGTAGGCGGTGTGTGAAAGCTCTGCCGCTTCTTCAACACCTACTTTCGCAAACCAACGCGAACACGGACTGACCAATCATGCTCCCCTGTCTCGGTTTGAATGACCCCATCTTCATCATTAGGTCGCGAAGACCTTCAGAACCGGCACCGACAAGGTCCTGGCGGTTCGCACTCTCTGGTATGACAAGCAGGAGTTGTACCAGACCACCGGGAAAGAGCGAGGCAAGGCTTCCCGCGCGTGACGACGGGGTTAACCGGGCGTCACCACGAACCAAGGGAACCAATTCACACGAGCGAGATCCTTCAACAATGATCACAAGAGAGGCCGCCAACCCTTCCGCCGGACGTTGAAGGACTAGTTGTAAAAGGCATCCTACCGCGCCCCATTTTCCACCCGGTTCCCCATCCCGGCTGTATTAGAAGAAGAATCCCGAGCGGGATACACGTTGATTCTCTTGATTTTTGTGGCTAGCTTAGAAGAAGCCACCCCACGGCAAGGACCGGCGTTCGCCGGTAGAAATGTTCGGGTGTTGGACAGGGAGACCGGCGTATCGACGGCCGCCATTTGGTCAAGGAAGGGCTGTCGTCCGCGTCAATGTCCATGTAAACGCAATGCCAAGTGGTGGGGGCTTGGGTGCTTGTGGTCCACCGTTGATGCCGTGGCTTGCTCGCTGTCGATGATACCAAGGGCTTCCGTCTCGGCATCTTGCTTGGCTCGGGTGGCACAAGACGCCCATTCTAGACCGAGATTTGTAATGTGATAGACTGGGGGGGTTGGAGAGTGAATTCAAAGCGATAGAGGCTCGCAAGTTGAACGGTGTAGGAGTGCACCAGCAGAGCACGAGGCAACCAGAGGCAAGCTGGGACGAGTTGAATTGAATGTCGGCTTGCTGGTGATTTTTGTGTAGAGGCAACGGCGTCGTCCATAGGTACGGAGGTTGCGAAGGCCGGCGGCGAATTGTGTACGTTTGACGGTAAACTTCTGACGCAGAAATCACACGAGTGTGATTCCGAGGACACGTTTGTGTGCATGGTTCGGAAGAAGTTTCAGGAATGACTTATCCCAAATAGCTCAAGTTTCAGCACGAGATAAATTCCAACTGCTGGACCCGGACGAGGGCTCCAGTCGTTTGAGCTCTCAGCTTTTGATGCGCATTGTGCCGCCAACGCAACAAAAGGCACACGATCTACATAGATAACCGTCCGTGCAGAGTATGGCCGTCACTGGATGAACGAGTGATTGCCATCGTTGTGTCGTATCTGTCTACACATACCTCTTTGGGGGCAGTTGGCTTGTGACCACGGAAGGCGTCCGCGTCAGTTGGATCAGTACGGACATTAGAAGGTACTGAGCGGAGACCGGAACGGTTTTTGATGTGAAGACAACAGCAATAACAACAACAACAACATGCATCTTGCCAGAAACGAAGTAGTCACACTTGTGGCGCCGGTTGGTCACAGGGGCGAGGCCCATTGTCTTCGACACCGTGATCTACTCCAATACCTGGTCACTTGTTGTAGAAGAAACCTTCGTTGTCCTTTTGTCCTCGCTGGACCCGAGTCTCACCGGCGCCTCATGCGAGCTGTTTCCACACAACGAGTGGGACGACCAAACACGAACAAAGACCCCGAGGGAGATCAATCTCGGCAATAAAGTTGATCTTAGATAGCTCTCTCTCTCTCTCTCTTCTGAGACGAAACTACGACAATCCTCTGTGCACTATAATACTCAGCCTACCGTTCTCTGTTCCCAGGCCTACCGTTAGGCATCGCTGCGCCGCAACTCTTCCGTCCGTTGTTTGACACGACTACAACGGAAACTGTGTACGTATTGAAAACCTGCTTCCGTCAGCCTGCCAAACGGATCAGCAAAAAAATGCAACCCCTTGTCCCAGTCCGAAAGTCGACAACCCCCCCCCCTGCCCTTGCCCCCCGCCAACCTAGCTAACTCGTCATTCAACTCATACAACCCCCCCTGCCGACACAACCCGCTCGAGGAGCACCGTGTTCGTTCAAGAGCTCGAGGCATTCATTGATACGAGTAGGAATGTCGTTGGGCATGATAGTATTGTAAGCCTCGTACAGATAATAATTAAAAAACAACTGTCGTTAACTTATCCCTTTGCCTAGCTTGGCCGCATTTTCTCGAACACTACGTTCACGTCGTTTTGCTTATTCGGGAGTGGTAACTTGAGCCTTCTCTAGGGGACTTTCCTTGCCTGCACTTGGCTTCAACTTGTGCCCTAAGGGCTGCTGCTTCTGTGACGCGACGAGAAGCGTCAAAACAACACAACCTGGTATTTACTCATTCATCCACATAGAATACCCACTTTCCCACAACCGACAGTACTCAACAAGCTCGACCATAAAGCACCTTGGAGGGTTTGATAGCGCCACCTGGGAACATCAATACAACCTACAATATTTACGTGGCGATTCCAGGGACGACCCTACCGTAGGTCGCAGACCCCGGGGCGAGCAAGGCTCCCCATGCAGAATCGCCCGACACCGGTTCAAGTCTCGACAATGCAACTCCTTCACAGAGTAGTCATGCGCGAGGAAATTCTGGCCGACTTCTTCTCTGCTACAAAGACGATTCCACCGCGTGCCCAGTCCGGATAGACTCGCGCGATCTAACTGCACAAGGGTTTGCACACCAATCTATGTATACTCAAGGCACAACCAGAAAGCGGTAGCATGATCCGCAACCTATGGGAAGAGATACGAAACAAGACACGTAGGGAGCAAAGGTACAAGGAAATGGACAAAATAACTTGATTCGCAACAAAGGACATCTCAACAACACAGGACATGGACAAGGACCGGGGCCGGTAGGCGGGAGGGGCACCTAAAACATGCCAAAAAAATTCGTCCCCGCTTCAAGCACACAAAAATAAGGACACCCCACACGCTACATCAGGACACCCATCTCTATTAGAAAAACGGTGCCCCCCAGAATGAATTACAATTGGGGGCATATAAGTTGTAAGGACACCTCTCCCCTTTGAGGACACGTTTCGAGGAAATCCCACCGGTCTGCTTACGGCAGGGAAGACAATAACAGAACTGCGGTATCCCACAGCTTCCCGGCTTCGAAGGTGCGTGAGGGCCAAACTGCTGTAGGCGCCGCCTGAGAACTTAGCACCGTCCTGCAGCAACAAGTACCCCATCTACATCAATATTGACAGCAAGCCGACGAATATCGTTGGCATCGCTAGTCCCAAGCTGGCTTCTTGTTGTGCTCTTCGTTTCAGGCTTGAAGCGGGGAGGGACTCCTCATTTATGCAAGACGTGAAGACACGACACGACAGGTGTACCGCTACTTCAGGCATTTCGACAATCCCCGAAAATAACAAATAACCTCACCAGGCACTTTTACTACCCGCAATTAAGCTCCGCAAAACCGGCTAACTGGCTTACTGGTTTTCCGATCGAACGGATTCTCACGTGTTTCGCGATGCGGTTGAGAACATCAACGCAAAGTTGGTGGTTTTCCTATCAATCGGATTCCACGTGTCTCGCGATGCGGTTGAGACCATCCTCCTGGCGTCAGACACCGCACGCATCTTCATCGCCGCCGCGCGTCGAGCTCAGGACCGGGAACCGCCTTCCATTGCGGTCGTTCACCACTCTGCATAGGAAGACAACGCCGTCGGCATCGGCGTCCGTGGCATCCATGGTGGGCGAGGGTAGCAGGCAATCCCGCGCCCACGCCCGGGCTTCTTCCTCGCTGCAGGAGCAGCCACGCCTCAGGGTGACCCCGGGCAGGCTTACGTCGACCGTTAGACCTGGGTGAGTACACCGTACATTTTGCGACTCGGCTGTAAGAGAGTGAATGCGCGTCAGTTTAGCACGTGCTGCTGATATTCTTGTAAACAACCTGTTCCCCAAAACGTCCCCGGGCGAAATGAGCGTTTGCGTGGCACTTTGGTGTGTGCTGCCGTTCGAGTGCGTGTGAGTTGCAACATCGGGGTAGGTCTTCAAAGGCCTCCTTAATTGAGGCGTTACGACATTGGGCAACACGGAAGGTTACCCCCCGAGGACAAGAGAGGATTCTTCAACGGTCGTCTTGCCCTCATAAACGTTGAAGCCGTTGCTAGAACACACAGAAAAACAAAAAAACACACAAAACACTGACAAAACGGCTTGAGGACATGGTCTCCTTCCAAGAAACGGTTTTCATGTACCCGACACTTGCCTTGGGGGAGTCTTATGTTTTGCATGCCTTGGCGGTTGGACCTGGACCATTGACCACGCGTCCTCGAGAGGACGGAGAATTGTTCCCACAGGACCGATCGCCGATAGCCAATCGTTCTTCCTACTTCGCGAAATGTAACTCGCAAATTTTCTCCCCAATAGGTCTATCCAATCGATATCAGTTCTCGCCATTTCAACCCACTTCCTATGCCCCAGTACCGCTACCGTCTCCTGGCTATTCCGTGCCTCCAACATCTCCCTACATCTTCCTTCTACTTGTCCCAGCTCAGTGATGTACACTTCCCGCTCCTTCAACTGTAGTACAACGGACATTCCGCTACCGGTCAGTCGGAGCCGCATTCACCTTTGATTTTGTCGTGTTCATCGTCTAGCTTCCTAAATCGTCGTCTGCGTTCTCGAAGGCCAATGTCACCAGTCCTAATTTTCTAAATTTCACCTTCAGTCTGGTGCCTACATCCGTCGGTCCATGTAGCTTCTCCTTGAACCCTACTCCTGCTTTAAACATTCCGAACAAACTAGACCCCCTCCTTATCCTTGGGGGGGGGGG